AGACTTAATAAGTCCTTCATGATAAAACTGATACTTTAACAATGGTCAAAAGAACTTATTTTCAAAATAAAATGGGATGTTTTGAAAATGTTTTCATTCTTATGCAATTTTCTTGCTAAGAAATAATAAATGTGAATATCATATAAAACGTTCACAATACCAAAACCAGTTAAGGATACTAACTAGAAAAGAAGACTACAGGCAAATATCTCTGGTGAATACAGTTGCAAAATTTCTCAACAAAATACTAGCAAACTGAATTCAGAAGGACATTAAAATGATTATTCACCATGATCAAGTGAGATTTATCTCTGAGATGCAAGGATGATTCAACATACATAAATAAATCAATGTGGCACATCACATTAATAGAATGAAAGAAAAGAATCATACGGCAATCTCAATAGACACAAAAAAGTATTTTATAAAATTCAACATCCATTCATGATTTTTAAAACAACAACAACAACAACAACAAATTAAGCATGGAAGAAACATATCTCAACATAATAAAGGCCATATATGACAAGCCCACAGATAACATCATACTCAATGGCAAAAGGTTGAAAGCTTCTTCTCTAAGATTAGGAACAAAAGAAGGGTGCCTACTCTCATGCCTCCTATCCACACAGTACTGAAAGTCCTAGGCAAAGCTAGCAGGCAAGACAAAGAAATAAAAGTCATCAGAATTGGAACTTAATGAGTAAAATTGTTTCTATTTGCAGATGACATAATTTTATATTGAAAATTCTAAAGATTCACAACTGTTAGAACTAATTTTAAAATTCCATTTGCAAGATATAAAATTAACGTACAAAAGTCAGTAGTGTTTTGATACACTAATGATGAAATTTCTGGAAGATAAATAAAGAAATTAATCCTATTTATAATAGCACCAAAAGTAATAAAATACTTAGAAATAAATTTATCCAAGAATGGGAAAGATCTCTTCTCTGAAAATTGTAAGACATTTATGAAGGAAATTAAGAAAAGACATAAGTAAATGGAAAGGCATCCCGATTTCATGAACTGGAAGAACTAATATTGTTAAAATGTCCATACTACCATGTATAGACTCGATGCAATCTCTATCAAGATTTCAATGGCATATTTTACAAAAATGGGGGGGGGGGTGTCTAAAATGTAGATGGAACCACAGAAGATCCCAAATAGCCAAAGAAATCCCAAGAAAGAAGAAAAAGCAGGAGGCATGACACTTCCTGACTTTAAGCTATACTATAAAAGTATAGTAATCAAAACAACATAATAATGGCATAAAAGCAGACAAATAGTCCAATGGAACAGAATCAAGAGCCCAGAAGTAAACATAACCATATATGATCAACTCATATTTGACAAGGGAGGCAAAAATACTCAGTGGAGAAAAGACAGCCTCTTTAATAAATGGTGCTGGGAAAACTGGATAGTCACATGTAAAAGAAGGAAACTTGACCTCTATCTTATACCACTTACAAAAATTAACTAAAAATGGATTAAAGACTTAAATGTAAGACTTAGAGCCATAAAACTCCTAGAGAAAATACAGGATAAAATCTCCTTAATATGGGTCTTAAAAATAATTTTTTTAATCATACCTAAAAAGCAACAAAATAAAATATAAACAAGTGGGACTGCATCAATCTAAAACGCTTCTGTGCAGCAGAAGAAACCACCAATAAAGTAAAAAGACAATCTGTAAAATGGAAAAATATATTTGCAAACTATGTATCTGATAAGGTTTTAATATCCAAAATATATAAAGACCTGATAGAACTCAATAGCAAAAATAATAATAATCCAATTCAAATACAGGCAAAGGACCTGAATAGACATTTTTCCAAAGAAGATATATGAATAGCCAATAGGCACATGAAAAGATGCTCAATGTGACTAGTGATTAGGGAAATGCAAATTAAGCCACAATAAGATATCACCTCACACCTGTTAGAATGACCATCATTAAAAAGACACGTGATGCCCTGGTCAGTGTGGTTCAGTGGTTAGAGCTTTGGCCCATGCACTGAAGGGTTATGGGTTCAATTCCCAGTCAAGGGCATGTACCTGGATTGCAGGTTCAATACCCAGCCCTGGTCCAGGCGCTTGCAGGAGGTAACCAATTAGCATGTCTCTCCCACATCAATATATCATTATTTGTCTTTCTCTCTCTCTCTCTTTCCCTCCCTCCTACTCTTTCTAAAAAAAAATAAATCAGTGGAGAAAATATCCTCAAATAAGGATTAATAAACAAAAAAAGACAAGTGATAACAAATGCTCACAAGGGTGTAGAGAAAAGAAAACTCTTGTGTACTGTTGGAATTATAACCTGATGCAGCCACTATAAAAACAGTATGGAAGTTCATCAAAAACATAAAATAGAACTTATTATCTAGCAATTCCAGATATGCTAACTACCAAAAGATGCCTGTACCCCATAGCAGCCTTATTTACAATAACCAAGACATGGTAACAACTTAAGTATCCATCAATGGGTGAACAGATAAAGAAGTTGTGGAATATATATACACACACACACACACACTAAAATATTATTCAGCCATAAAAATGAGGAAATTCTATCATTTGCAGCAACACAGATGTGATACTGTTATACTAACCCGGTTATTAATTAACAGGAAAGGAGTAAAGTGAAAACTATATAATATGGGCATGCCATTTATAAAGCTTTGCCAGAAAGCTGCAGTTTAACATTCTCCAAGTGTGTTCCCTGCAGATCAATGAAGGCAGGGACTGGACAGAGGCCATTTAGATGCATGCCCAGTAAGGTCTGGGTGACGTGGGAAGATACTTGCCTGTCAATCACACCTGGGAGCTCGTCATTGGCCAGAATAGACGCGGCCACAGCAAGGGCAGGAAATCTGAGATACTTAGCTCTTAAACAAAGGGGTTCTCTCCCTTGGCCCTTATTGCTTGCTTGCTGCTGGTGCCTGACTCCTGCCTTGCAGGGCTCTCACGCTCCTGCGCTCAACCACGATGCGCTCAATGGACTAATGGACTGTGACCAGCCTGATGCTATGCCAGACTCAACTCCACCATGGAACAGAAACTCCGGACCCTGGCTTTATTCTAGTCCTGCTGAATCCCCAGCTACCCATCTTCCAGGACTGGACTAAGGGAAATAAGACTTTGAAAACCAAAGGACATAACTTTATGCAAGTAAAATATCATTCATTCACCCATGTGAGTCTTAGAAAATTCTTTTTCTCAAGACATCATAAGAACCCACTCTCACTGGCAACAGAGAAAGGCAATCCACACAATTCTCTGGTAATAGATTGACCTTGAAGGGATTATGCTAAATGAAATAAATCAGACAGAAAAAAAAATTCTCTGGCAAAAATTAAAAAACAAAATGTTTTGTTATACATTTAAATATTTTTAATTTAAAGCAAAAATAGAATAAAATAAACAGTATTTGTAAATTTTCATTGGTATGTACTTTTTACAATGTTTATTAACACACTCTGAAATTTAAAAATAAATAAAAGTAACATTTAGAGAAGTGTGCTTTAAAATTTTTACTGATAAGAGGTGTCATTTGGAAAGTGTGGAAATGATTGCTTAAGGCCGTGATATTTTCGTTGGCATAGTTATATTTTCTTGTTAAATTAAAATTGGTAGAGAAAGCAAAAATCCCCTTTTCCAAGCCATTCAATATGAAGCCATCTTATTTACATGTAAGTGACTTGGGGACATTTATGTTGGTGAAACTTTATTGTGAATACTTTAGTACATATAATATCCCACGTTTTCAATGTGGCTTTCTCGTACCAGCCTCTGATATCTTCATGGCTGAAGAACCTGGTCCCACAAAACACTGACTTGTCAACCTCTGTTTTGTGGAGATAACAGCTTATCAGTGCTGTAATAATCATACCTTTGTGAAATTTCTTTTCAAATATATGGCTTGCAACAGTGTCAGGGAAGAAAAAAATCCATAAGCTAGCCAAAAATTTTTTGAATTAGATCAAAGTCTCAAGAATTATTGAACCCAATTTAAGTTTTTATAGTACCATATTTTTATCCAGTTACCTTTTGTTAAAATATTTTCACTTCATTTGCCCCAAAATACCAGTGTACATTTATAGCTATTTCCATCACAAGTTCTAAACTTTATCTCACTTATAGGCTTAGGTTTTTTCAAGAGTTGCAGACTTAGGAATAATCTCCCTATCTACATGTCTACTGACAAGATTGTAATCAGAAAAATCGGTGTGAACAGGCATGACTTAAATGGGAAAAAATTCACAGAGGGCGCAGCAGCCTGTCTGCTCCTTCCCCTCAGTGCTAGTGGGGTAGATTACAGCTGCCTGTAGTTTCTGTAGACATGAGCCTTGGGTCTTTTCTAGCACACACAGAAATGTTTGAGAGAATAAATGCAGGTTTGGGGTTCTCAAAATGGGCATTTGTGGACTCACATTCTGTCCATGTCACAGTTAGCTATAATTTTCTCCTCTGCTTCTTCATGTACAAAGGAGGGTTAAAAATAATCTAATTTATAAGAATTACATAAATCAACTATAATTAGCAATTTATGCCTAGAGAGGGATTAGCAGGACCCTGGCGTCTCATGTAATTGCCCCTATTCTTTACACCACACTCTTGTTCCCCTTCTAAACAATTTTGGGGGGGTCAATAAATGGTACTTCACCCTGTAACTTCATCCACTTCTAACACCCCTGGAATTATTATTATTAGCAAAACCTGAATACTCTCTGGCCTCCAGGGTCCCCCCACACTGCTCAGCCATTGGTTATTAGCCTTGAGGTTTACTGTACCAGAAAGATGAGGGTGGGTTCAGACAAGGTCATGGAATAAAAAAATAAGTTTATGTCATAAGAAAATTCTCATTCAACAGAGTAAGAAAGAAGATTGCCAGAGTTAAGATGAAAGGAGCAGGAGATGCCCAGGGTAGAGCAAGAAAGGAGGGTGCCAGGCTGTGTCACTCCCTCAGTTCATTAGTGAGACGATGACATCTAAGCATGAGAGAGAGTCAAGTTGAAATTGGACAGGTTTCTGCCTCGCTCACCACTAGAGACGTTAAAAGAAAATCACCTGCCACAGTATGGAAGAGCTGTAGCAAACTAGAAATTATGTGGAAAACGTTTGGGCGTAAGAGTGTTAGAGGAAACAACCCTCTCCAGAAGCTCCTTTGGCTCCACGGGTATGGAAGACACTAGGCATTCATACGTGCACTGCAAGCAGGGGCCTGACACAGGGCCGTCACAGTGAGAGGTGCTGGGTTTCAAGGCTTGGGGCCTGAGGGCTGGCACAACTGAGTCTCAGACAACCTGCAGAAATGGCAGGTGCCAAGATGAGGTCAGGTCAGCAGATGGGGACAGCCATTCCCCTGTTCACTGGCCTTGCAGAGAGATCAGGAGTCACCATCTCAACCGCCAGCCAATGCACAGTGATTGAGCAGGATTCAGACAGCATCAAGGGACCCTCCCTTAGAAACATCACCTGCCATCTCATTGAGGGCAAGGGAACGTCTTCCTACCTCCAGAACGCGGGTTTAAACATGGAGGGGAAAACAGTGACGGACTTACTAGGGATTAGAACTTTGAATGCAATGACTATTACCTGTTTTAAATGCATTCTTTGGTGGTTTTAAATTTGACGAGAATAATAAATATTTAATTGGCAAGTATATGCTCCTCTACCATCCCTGATGTGATGTTCTGATGATCCTCTGGTAGATTTACTATCATAGATTTAAAATGAAGAATTTGGGAGAGGCCATTTGAACACAGATAGAATCTAAACAAAAGCCTCTGTAAAGTGTACATCAACCAGAAAATTGGGGTCTAAATTATATAAATATGCAAAGGCATGTGCACTCAAATGTATCTCATTGCCTTGTTTATAACCACGAAAATAGAAACAATGTTAATATCAACATTAATTATTTTAGTAACAAAAGCAAAATGAAGGTGGAAAAGTATTAATGTTAGGATGTTAACTGTCACCAGTACTCTAGTTTAAATCCATCAGTGGCTTACTTCACACTCCAGGAAATTCTGCATTAACAAAAAAACAAAAAAAAATACTCATGAAAAGGTGAATGTTATCATCCAAAACCTTAATTTTTGGAGAAAGTATCAAGTTGATAAAACATTTAATAATCCCTCTAAGCCATGCAATAGTAATAAAATTTCTATCATTTTACATTAATATAGGAACTTCAATTTACAGAGTGATTTCTTATAAATTACCTGAGGAAAGTTTCAATATGTCTATAAATAAACAGGATGAGAATTATGCTCAGTTTTCAGAGGAAGAAGTCAGGGCACTGAGACAGTTGGGAAATGTAGAAGTTCGAGCTAGGATGCTGTTCTGCTGATGCCTAAACCACTGAATTACTTAAGTGTATGTGATTTACAGTGAACATTTCCTTTGATTTAGAAAAGGAAGTTTTGTATATGAAAGTAGATTAATTTATCAGCACACTTTATCACATAACTAAAAATGTGTCAAAAGAAAAAAAAATGTTTCAAATTACACTTGAAATTCAGTGAAATCTGTTACCAGAGTCTCAAAATGAATGAGTTACAAAGCTCAAAACAAAAATGACAGCATCTGTCTGAGTGCAGGACAAATGGCCCACAAGTTTTCTCTCATAGGTACCTATTCAATTTTCTCTTCATTGTTAGGGTCCCAGAAGCCCATTACAGTGTAATCAATGTAATGAATGCAGAAATAAATAATAAAGTAAATCACGCTTTGCCTCACAGCAGATATTTGCGTTACATCCATCAAAAATCATTGTTGCCCTGGCCAGTTTGGCTCAGCAGTTAGAGCATTGGCCTGTGGTCCAGAGAGATCCAGGTTCGGTTCCCGCTAAGGGCACGATTCTTGGTTGCAGATTATCCCTGGCCCTGGTTGGTCGTGCGGGTGGCAGCCACTCGATGTGTCCCTTTCACATTGATGTTTCTCTCTCTTCCTCTCTCTCCCTCCCACTTTATGTGAACAAAAAAAAAAAAAAGGAAAAATGTCCTTGGGTGAAGATTAAAAAAAAAAAATCATTGTTATTAAATTAGCTGCCCTGGCTGTTTTGGCTCAGTGGTTAGAGTGTTGGCCCAAGGACCAAAGGGTCACAAGTTTGATTCCTGCTCAAGGGCATGTACCTGGGTTGCAATTTCAATCCTTGACCCAGGTGGTACGGGAGGCAACCAATCAATGTATCTCTCACATTTCTCTCTCCCTCCCTCTTTCCACTCTATCTGCAAATCAATGGAAAAATATCCTCAGGTGAGGATTTAAAAATAAATAAATAAGCAGCAGGGGAGCTTTTCTATTGCCTCCTAAATGCAGGAGAAATATTTTTTTTTAACTAAAATTTATTTTTTAACATTCAAATATAACTAAAAAAAGATCGAGTGCACCTGTTTCTAGTATTACAAACATATAGATTTTGATACAAGCCAATATTAATTTTTAATTAAACATGCAAGTAATGCTTGCCTTACATTTTTACTATTTAGATCCCCCCCACAAATAAAGAAAACATTAAAATTGCATTATACTGAAGTTTGTGTAAAAATATATATATATAATGAACTCAATTGGCTTAACGACATATCATTCAGTTTTTCTGCCTAGTTTATTGCCTATATTAATACCCCCATTAAACAAAACACCAGCCAAAAGCCAAAAAATAATCCATGTATTAAAGTGAAAAGAAATTAACTTTAGAGTCAGATGGAATAGATTCTGAATTCCAGCATAATCACCTGCTAGAAAGGTGATTTTGAGCAAGCTGCTTTGCTCATCTGTAAAACAGAGATAATGATAGCGATTTCTGACGCTTGCACGGCTTAAAGAAGAAATGAATAAAACATGTGGGATGGCTTGCGCACATAATAAGTACTCAGTTATTATTGTTATTAAGTTGCTACTTCATAAGACTAAAATTTCACTAGAGGAAGACCATGGAAATAATAACCATGGGCCTATTTGCTCTTGTATATATGGCTCTAAATATCTTACTTTTCCTAATTCTCAGCACAAATTTTTTCATTCATTGTCCAGTGTATATTTACTAAATTTCAACTATGTGTATGACATCATTTTAAACATTGGGGATATATAAGTAAAAAAAAAATAAACATCTTTGCTCTTATGGACAATATAAGAGGAACATAAGTGAACCATACAGTATGTTAAATATGAAGGTTAAAAACTAAACACCTAAGGAAAGAGAATGGAGACTGTCGCAGGTGGGTGTGAGGTCCACGGTGACCCGCACTGACTCCCATTGGGAAGGTGACATTGGTAAAGACGAAGACGAGGCAAAGGGGAGACGTAAAGTGGTCAAACTGTGGTCATATTGTGAAGGTACAACCAACAAGACTTCTTGACAGATTGGATACAGGTTATAAGGAAAGGAGAAAAATCAAAGGTTGCTTTACCTCAACAACTAGAAAAAATGTAATTACATTTTACCAAGATAGGAAAGCTTAGGAGAGCAGTAGGCTTGAGAAAACACAGGGGAAATTCCCTTCAGAACACGCTAAGTTTGAGATAACCATCAGACATGTAATAGAGACTTTAAGTAGTCCATTAAATATATAAATCTGGAGTTCAGAGAAAAGACTATCATCAGGCTATTATTAACATATAATCTGTGAAACTGATTAAGATTTTCACAGCTGCCTGGCTGGTGTGGCTCAGTGGATGGTGCGTAGTCCCATGGACTGAGAGGTCCTGGTTTATTTACAGTCCTGGTGACCTGACAGTAGCACCCAGCCAAGCCCAGTCATTATACACCACCAGAGTCTGTACAACAACCTTTAACATCTGGGATGGACCTGACTTTCAAGACCGGGTTGTCAACAGTAAGACACCAGTGGTTGTGGATTTTCATGCACAGTGGTCTGGTCCCTGCAAGGTCCTGGGGCCGAGGTTAGAGAAGATGGTGTCCGAGCAGCACGGAAAGGTGGTGATGGCCAAGGTGGATATTGACAACTACACAGAGCTCACCATAGATTATGAGGGGCCAACGGTGCCCACCATGCTGGCCATCAAGAATGGGGACGTGGTGGACAAGTTTGTGGGCATCAAGGAGGAGGACCAGCTGGAGGCTTTCCTGAAGGTGCTGACAGGCTGAAAAGCAGATCTGTAATAAAGAACTGCATGTGATCCCTTCTACCTCCGTCTGTGAAAAACAGACCCTGGGCCCCACACTAAATTACTCTAGAGCTACCACCACCCCCAAAGAGCTACCTCCCTTCTTTCCTCCCAGGTACAACAGCAGTGAACACACATTGGGCTGGGGGCGTCCTGCACACACTGGAAGTCTACAGATGCCACTTCCCTCACCATTAGCTGGCCCTTTGGTTCTCTGAGCAGCAGGCTATACTATGAAACTAGACCAATATAACTGGGGTTTGCACTGTCAAAAAAAAAAGTCATTATAATAATAAACCATGTAACTAATACAAAAAATTGAGAGAACTAAGGATACAAACCAGGTTAAAAGCACTAAAATGCTACTGTAACCATACCTGGTAGGATTGGAAAATTATTGAATACAAGATATTTGAGAATACGGGGGGGGGGGGCGGGGGTAGGAGATGGCATTCAGGGAGAAGGGTGCTTGAAACTGAGATTATGGAGTTATTAAAGTACGTGTACTGACAGCATGACCATGGGAGAGAATAATTTAGGGATGACTAAGGATAAACATCATTAGAGAAGAGGTGGTCAAAGAACTGAGGAGCCAGGGTATTAAAAGTATCATCTACACAGATACTGAAATTACCAAGATTTTGTCCACAGCATTGTAAAAAGAGTCCATATCAATAAGCCAAGAGCTAAAATTTTCAGGGAATGAAAGGCAGGGGACGGGTGTGAAGCAGATGGTGACAATGGATGATTGTAACAAGGAAGAGTAGGGTACAATAATATAATCTGATAAAATAAGATCTGAAGATGAGTGTTTATAAGAAGAAAAAATATCTGGAATCAGTAAAGAGGACATATACTCAATCTGCAAGCCCAATGGCATAAGATGCATAAAAGAACATTGAGCTCCCATTTGGGAGGGCGGCAGGGCAACTGTCCAGATCCACTTTGAACATGACATTAATGCTGTGTTCAGAAAAGAGGTCAATGATAAAGGAGAATTGTCTATTGACTGATGTTAAAGTCTAATTAGCCAAAGACCATGAGGAACAAACCAATAGTCTGACAAAATCAGATTTACTGACTTGATGGAGTGAGGAAAGGCACTTCCTAGGAATCATGGAACGCTGCTTTCACACCAAGAGGAAGGAGGAAAGCATGCTTCCTAAGGGTTGGGCTCCGGCTGAAGGAGTCTGAGGGGGAACTAAGGGAAGTGAGGACCAGCTCCAGATTGGTTATTGTTTCTGAGACAGAATTTGGAGAAGCAAGAAATAACCAGGGATTGGGTGCTGTTTTGATGTGAGGATGGCTTAAAAACTGGGTGTCTTAGATATTATAGCAAAGTGAGTCCAGGATGTTATGGGCAAGAAAGTAATAATCATTCAAAGCGGAAGCCTTGTAGCATTTTACATTTGCTGTATGACCTCTGCAGAAATAATACTTCTATGAGAAAGTAGCTAATAAAGGGGAGAAAACTGCTAGAATAGGCACTGCCTCATTGTGAAGAGAAAGCAGAGGGAGAAACAAAGAACTGTAAAGACAATCGAATTTCAAAATACACAATTTGAAATTATTTGCTATAAAGGGAAATAACCCAATAGGCAGCATAATCCTGAAGTCATCATAGTATTATAACAGAGTATAACTAATATTCAAAACAATGTCCTTAAAAGACCAGTAAAATGGAAAATGATAGTGAGTGGCCAGAACATATTTTATATTTCCTCCTGTTCATAAGAAGTAATCCAACACTCCTTCTTCACTAGCTCCTTCCCAATTAAATACATTTTGAAAAAATTTCCATCAAGAATATTTTTAATATATATGGGAGATGGCAACAGAGTGAATAAAAGCTGCACAGAACGTCTTCCAGGACCAAACTGGAATTACAACTAAAATAAAGACAAATTATTGGGGGAAACCAACTGAAGAGCATCTGGAGAGAGCCAGTACAACCAGGTACAGAAAGAGGGTGCCAAATCAAGCCTGATAGGAACTGTGGAGGCGCGTGGGGATGGGCTGGGAGCTCATGGACAGCAACAAATGGCAGTATTAGTGGTGTGTGCTTCCTGCGAGAAAGCTGGAGTTTTTTAAAGCACCAAATCAGCTCTGGCCAGTTTGGCTCAGCAGTTAGAGCATCAGCCCACAGACCATAGAGTTGAGGGTTTGATTCTGGCAAGGGCACATACCTTGGTTGCTGTTCATCCCTGGCCCTGGTTGGGGTCATGTAGGACACAACCAATTGATGTGTTTCTCTCGCATTGATGTTTCTCTTTCTCTCCCCCCGACCCCACCCTTCTACTCTATCTAAAGATAAATGGAAAAAATATCCTCAGGTGAGGATTAAAAAATAATAAATAAATAAATAAATAAATAAATAAATAAATGCACCAAATCAGCTACAGTCACTCACTTTGGGCTCCAGCAGAGGAAAGGAGAACTGGACTGGAACTGTATGGAGAAGAATCCAGGGCTACTGGCTCAGGAGAGAGCTGGAGGGGTAGACACCAGGAGTCCTGTAGTGAATCAGTCCCTCACGGGACAGTAGCCATCTTACTCAAAAGCCCCTTCCCAGAGCCCCAAGGAGAAGCAACAGCACCTCTCTCAGGAATTCAATACCACCAGCAAGGCTAGAGAAATGCAAATTGAGGCTCATTAACACCTAGAATCTGATAGCTAGCAAGTGCCCCACCCGCTGGAAATCCTCTTACAGCTGAGGATTTTTCATTCAGTTGAGGACTACAAATTAAGGCTCATCAAGCAACTGAGACTACAGTCATCCCTCACCACTTTGCACTTCGACTTTTGTGGCTTCACTCTATATCAGTTTTTTCAAATACTATACTATATTAGGAAAAAACACGATAGAGTGAAGCCATGAAAGTTGAAGCGTGAAGTGGTGAGGAATGACTGTATATAAATAAAGAATCCTACTTCATGGAAATTCTTTATTGCGGTAGTTTGGAATTAATTAACTGCGATAAACAAGGGCCAACTGTAATACCTTCCATGTAAAAAGCTAGAAGATAATTGAACCTTTCCTTGGCTTGTAAATCTACCCAGGTAAGTAAGATTTCACAAAGAAGGACACCACACAATAGTGAAAGGATCTATCCAACAGGAGGATATAACCTTGATAAACATATATGCACCCAACATAGGAGCACCGATAATCATTTAAAAACTTCTGGAGGACTTCAAAGGAGAAATCGACAGCAATACACTCATAATAGGGGACTTCAACACCCCACTGACAACACTGAATAAATCCTCTAGGAAAAAAATTAACAAGGAAACAGAGACTCTAAATGATGCACTAGATCAAAAGGATTTAATAGATATCTATTGAGAATTACACCCCAAAACTACAGAATTCACTTTCTTCTCAAGTGCACATCGGACATTCTCAAAGATAGACCACATGTTAAGACACAAACTAAGTCTCTACAAGTTCAAGAAGACTAAAACCATATCAACCATCTTCTCAGATCACAATGGCATGAAACTAGAAATCAATTACAACAAAAACATCCAAACACATGGAGGCTAATAGCATGTTATTAAACAATAAATGAGTTACCAAGGAGATTGAGAAAGACATTAAAAACTTCCTGGAAACCAATGAAAATGAACACACAACACCACAAAATCTATGGAACACAGAGAAAGCAGTTCTGAGGGGGAAGATCATAGCACTACAGGCCTACCTCAAGAAACAATTCCTAATTGACTTTCTAACCCTGCAATTTAAAGAACTAGAAAATAAACAAAAAGAAAAACCCAGAGCAAGTAGAAGGAAAGAAATAGTAAAGGTCAGATCAGAAATAAATGACATAGAAACTAAAAAAAATTCAAAAGATCAATGAAACAAAGAGCTGGTTCTTTGAAAAGATAAACAAGATTGATGGACCCTTTGCCAGACTCACCAAGCAACAAAAAGAGAGAACCCAAACACACAAAATCAGAAATGAAAGAGAAGTAACAACCGACACCACAGAAATACAAAGGATCATTAAAAAATACTATGAACAACTATATGCCAACAAATTGGAAAATCTAGGTGAAATGGACAAATTTCTAGAAACACATAGTCTCCCAAAACTGAACCAGGAAGAGATAGAAAACTTAAACAGATCAATAACAACTAAGGAAATTGAAGATGGACTCAAGAAACTCCCAAACAAACAAAAACCCAGGCCCAGACAACTTCATGGGGAGTTTTACCAAACATTCAAAGATCTAACACCCATTCTCCTCAAACTATTCCAAAAAATCCAAGAAGACAGAGGACTTCCAAACTCATTTTATGAGGCCAGCATAATCCTAATTCCAAAACTGGATAAAGACACTACAAAGAAAGAAAACTACAGGCTAATATCCCTGATGAACATAGATGCCAAAATCCTTAACCAAATATTAGCAAATCGAATCCAGCAATACATTAAAAAAATTATTCACCATGACCAAGTGGGTTTTATCCCAGGGATGCAAGGCTGGTACAATATTTGCAAATCAAGTATGATACAGCACATAAACAAAATGAAAAATAAAAACCATATGATCGGAAGGAAAAATGGCGGCGGAGTGAATGGAAGCTACACTGACCATCTCCCAGGACCAAACTGGAATTACAACGAAAATAAAGACAAATCGTCAGGAAGGGGCAACCGAAAGGCAGCTTGGAGGACCACATAACCAGGAACACTGACTCAATCCTGGTAGGTTTGCGAGGAAACGAGATGGGGCCAGGAGCCCACGGTGCACAGCGGCCTGGGCTGGAACCAGCAGACTTGGCTGGAAGCTGCGCCCTCGGCTGAGTCCTATGGCCTCAGCTGGGACCAGTGGCCGCCTGGGCTGGGTCTTACGACCTCATCTGGGTGCTACGCCCTCAGCTGGGACCAGCGGCCACGGCTGGAAGCTGCGCCCTCGGCTGGGTCCTGTGGCCTCAGCTGGGTCCTATGGCCTTGGCTGGGACCTGCGACC